CACGGATTCTTACTACACAATTTCTATATGTTACATTAAATAGCATACACTTCCTACTTAAAGTCGTGGTATCTAAGTAAGTCTTAGGCATTTTAGGATCACCTGGGTTCTCTAGACTTCCGTATGGGACCATGAAGTTCCTTTTCTGCATTTACTACCAGATATGCTAATGATAAATTGCTCCATTGACATTTACAAATTGTGTGTAGAGCTTAAAAAGAACTTCTGAGAGCAGTTAACGAGATAGTAAGTAGAAAACCTGGAGACGTGATCGCCAAGGTCTTGAGGGCACTGACTGTGGATCTTAGCATAAGCCCAGAGTTTCCAACTCCAACTGGCAGAATTCTGGCGTTGGGCACTTCATGGAGGTGGGCTGCTAGGGTAATGACTGGGTGGTATTTTTCCACCTATTCCTCCCCTTCTTACAGAACGCTAGACCATCCTCATGGCGTCGTGGCGGACACGAACCGACCACGTGGACCCCTTCCTGCCTTTTTATTACCAGGTCAGGTTTGAGTCTAACCTCTTCGGCAACGGAGAAAGTGGTTTCTGTGAACACCACATGTCCGATTACCGTAGCATCTTCCTCTCTATGAAGTTCTTGATCTCTTCATGATTCATGATTCATGGTTTCTACCGCTGTATTGCACTTCCTGAAGTATACATCCTTTCTGGTACTTCCTCTACTAACAATAGTTTATTGCTAGCTGTATTTGACTTCAATTTCAGTGCAGTTTTAAAATATCTAGTTTTAGAATATTGTAAGGAATCGTTTATATGCGCCTTAATCGCTCTCCCTTAGGATTCCATCTTGTCGGAGGCGGCTACCTCGTCATCGGCGCATTTCTTCTTATAAGTCCTTTAATCTTGTTCAGGATAGGACTAGTTGAATCTCAATGTTTTGGCGGTCTTCAATATCCGTTGGTAGAAACTCAGAATCTTAGCCATCTGCAAATAGGATCTGCAGATTTTTCTAATCGTAATCCTAGGAACGTGTTGGGCGAGCCTCAGCAATCCCAGTCCTCAATTTCTCTGGGCCAGGTAGAAAAAGCCATCTCAGTACTCATATGCAGATGTAGGAACTGTTTGACTGCCAGTCTGATGTGACCATCCGCATCCCTGAGCATCGACATAGATGACATCGATAAAATCAATTGATATAAGTAAAGCGGCGTTATGTAGGTATAAAGTAATGCAAACTTTTGAGTGTGGACTTTAAATGCGCCTTCTGAAGCCTCGTCACTGCGTCTATCAAATTCGATATGGATGCTTTATATGGGAAGCCGTTCCGGATAGCGTAGTTCACTTAGAGGTATGTTAGGGTATGATTAGAGGAATTCCCCCAACCTTTCCAGACAAGGGTCTTCAATGAACCAGGGTCGTTCAGAGGTTGTAATTTGAAATTATGAACTTTTCCCGATCGACAATGTCATTCCGAGCGCCTCATGATATTCCACCACAATATCAACAAATTCTAGAGCTCCTGGGGTATCTTTTGCTAACAGCACCAGAACGTCAGCAAATGCTAACACAGACACACTCCTTTCCAGTAGATGTATCCTGACATGTTTTCCAATTTCTCAAGCAGGCATTCCATAATGAAATTAAAAAGGAGTGGGGACAACTCGCTATACTCCTCTACGAATTGGCCCCTCAATTCCTTTCGAAGGATGCTGAATGACGGTGGAAACGTCGGCGTAAAAGACTGTTAGCAAATTGGTAAAGGAGTCAAGTATCCCCCTTAGAGGACGTAATTTACAACATATTTTAACACGTTTTATCCAATTTTTCGTCACCATGACAAGCACTAAGAGGTTTTCTGTCGAAAAATCGCTGTTTTCCGGCACACCGTTACAATACTTCCTCTTTTTACAAAGTAAGACGAGAAAGTAAAACGTAATCATGAATTCAAAAGTTAAAGGACAAATATTAAAAACGCACTTTATCTCGTATTTTCGACGCCACTAGTAAAGCAGCGTCTATTGTTTTTCACTCACGAAGAGTTCTACTTTCAACCAATTAGCGGCAAATTTAAGAGCGAGCACTCTCTCGCTTATATTTGTCCCCAACCATAATACGCATGAAATTCAAAATATAACTATTTTGTCGATTAACACAGCAGAAGGTTGTTGTCAATTTGGAATTTGGCTAGTCAGGAGGGTGTAATATCTTTAGCATCTTGGCAAAATGAAAAATTTGCTCTCGTGATATTCTTTTAATTTCCCCTCAATACTCTAATAGTCTGAAAGAGAATAGCGTCCTGAGCTACGACTTCGTCATAAGGTGATACGAGACAAATCATTTGAGCCTGAAAGTTAGGCAACCCAACGTACACGCAACACAACGTACTCTCAAGAAAGATGATTTTTGTATTTTTGTCCTACTAGCGAAATTGATCCGTGTGCAGCGGTGCGGAAGGAAAGGGAAGGGCGGGAAGGGGAAAGGGAAGGGAAGGGAGGATGGGATTGGCAGGCGTGATGAGGCGAGTGGCGAGGCGAAAAGCGTGGCGAGAAGCGAGAGGCGAGGAGAGGCCAAGCAAGGCGAGAGATGAGGCCAGAGGTGTGTCAAGCTGGAACAGCCATGTTAGCACACACGAATGAAATATGTCAAATACTTTATTGATAATTAATTGCCACAATTTCGAATTACTTGTCAACCATTTTCGTGGCAAAAATGGGAGGCTTGAGAGGAGACCACCACACACGTAAATTAAAATCGGATCGTAGCTCGACAACAAAAAGACTCAAATAATTTATTGCTAACAATTCTCGAAGGAAACCCAAATAATTTAATTGATAAGCAAAGAGAACAATTTTAATGAATGATTTTGTTTTTACAAAGTGTTTTCTTATGCGCTGGTAGTGCGGAATTTCGTGACTTCCTAATGGGCATTTTTCAAATTTTGAAAAACAAAACAAAACCAGTGGTGCTACAGAAAGAAACAGACTCTCTCGAATTAGTTTACTAATTCCTTTGGTCTCGGCAAGCTATTCGGATTTGCCAACTGCCATTTATCCCCATACTCTTGCCAGCTGCCATTTATCACCGCCCGAAGTACATTTTCTGAAAGTTTCTTAATTTTTCGGTTTCCTTTTAGTATAACAGAAAATTTACTTTAAGAATATTAAGAAACAGTAAAACATCGTCCAACGTGGCCATTTTCTTTGAAAAATTTGGAGCCGTTTTTAAGAAAATGGTTTTTAAGCTTTACTGTAAATTCGAAAGTTGATGCTCTTTTTCATAGAAAATTTTTGAGTTTGAAATTTCAATGAAAATTTTTGAAATTTTGGAAAAACTTCATAAAGTCATTTGAAGCACTTTTACTCACAAATACAATAATGTTTGCGAATTGCTGGAAATTAGCATATAAATGGCGTTAGAAATTTTGTAATTTGTATAATTTTTTTAAAACAAAATAATGCCTAAAAATGAGCTATGAAATGACATATTAAAGAGGGCAATTAGCACTATCCGTTCGAAACGCTTGAAGAAAAAATTGGTGCCGTTTTTGGGAAAACGGCGTTTGAGCGTTTCTGAAAGTACGGAATTTTGAGCCAGTTTTCACAGAAAATAGTTGAATTTTTCGCGAAACTTCATGACATTATTTAAATCACATGTACTCATAAATATAATAATGTGAACAAATAGCCATCAATGTAAATATTAACGCCGTGAGAGACAAATGAAAAACATTATTTTTTTGTAATTTTTGAAAGAAAAAACAACGACAGTATAGAGCAAACTAATGTTTGTCATCTCATTGAGTACATTTAGCACTATCCCCACGAAAAGTGTAAAGAAAAAATTTGGATCCGTTTTTTAAAACATTATTTTTAGTTATATTTTAAAATTGCACATTTTGCACGCAATATTGCACGAAAACGACTAAACTTCCACAAAAAATGTGCATGACATTAATGGAAGAACTCACTATGGAGAACAAAATTTATCTGAAGGGAAAATATCTATCTTCAATTTTTGTAGTTGTAGGAAGACACCCGAAAACATTTTGAAATTTTGAAATTTTCGCAAATAAAGTTAACCCTGAAAATCGGATCTATGCCAACTTTATAAGTGTATTTTTTCTATTTTTACAAGAAATTTAAAGAAAAAATTTGGAGCTGTTTTTGAGAAAATTTTTAAAATATCCGGAGGGCTTCATGTAAAGAATTCCTAAATTTTGACGAAAGATTTTCAAAATCGCAGCGCCTCGAGTCAAGCCAAATTGACTGCGGATTATCCATTTTGGAAAAATAATCCTACATATGGTTTAAGGACAGACACAGAGTGGTGTTCACAGACCGGACAGACGGACATTAAAAAAACTTTTTCGGTAACAAGGTACCCCAAAACGCGAATTTCCGTTGAGATCTCGAAATCGATTTTCCGCAGCATTACATAACTTTCCCTATATTACGTGTATTACTCTGCATATACGTATGCAAATGGGAAATAAAAAGTACAAAGACAGCCAAAAGTATTGCTATTATAAAAATGTTATGTGGCTTTCTAGCTTAACGGACGTGCATGATAATTTCGATCCGTAGTAGGGCGAAAATGGCGCATGAAATTATTGTGCATGCATTGGCATAATTTAGAATATATTTAGAAATGGAATACTGCCTCGAAGTTTCATATTCTTTATACAGAAGTTACAAATTTCGAAATAACATAAGGATCACTTATTAATCCTTTAAAAATCCTGATTTCTTTTTACTTTCTCGCTACTGAATAGCGAGAACTTAAGTAATACTGTGCGAAAAAACGGCGAATTCTCGGCAGAAAAATGTATTACAGGGCCCTGGTAACTAGCACCACTAGTTAATGAAAAAACCTCATGTTTTCCTCTCTAGTCACAACTTCGTAATCCATTTCCCCTTTCCCCCGGAAACTGGCCGACGCCCTTCGCCATCTGCTACCTCCTCCCACACTTCACAGTAATAAAAGTATTTAAACATTTTGTCACCATGGTAAGTGCTTACTGAGACACTCGTAGTAACCTCATAGTTACCTCCTAGTTATCCACATCAAATTAACAAGAACGCCGTCGGATGATCTTTTCTAGGAGCTGACCGCTGTCTGCCTACTATCAACGCATATACGAACTGCCTGCTGACTCTTGCCACGTGCTTACGAGGTAAGATGCTTCAACTTATTTTTACATTCTCGTGCGGAGTAATAAATATACTATAGAGAAAGTTAGGTAATGCTGAGGGGAAAACGGTGATTTTTCGATAGAAAAATGGGGCTTGGTGCAGAAAGAGTAGATAAATCCTGTTCCAATATGTAGTACTTTCTCTAACACATTATGTAGTGAGATTTCACGAACTGTGGGTCCTTGACACCAAGAAAGCGTTTTCCTTTTTTTCAAAACGTCCGTCCGTCTGTCCGTCCATCTGCGAACAACATTATCGCGTGAACTATTCGTTTCCAAAATGAATATCCTCTTGTCGATCTGGCACGACTCGAAGTTCTGCTTGAAAAATGTTGTTTAAAACTTGGGGGTACTTTACAAGAAAACTCTGAGACATTTACAAAATTTGTTAAACAATTTTGATTGACATATGGGCAATATTTAAAAATATATTGAAATCAATATCTTCTAAAAAACTGCCCTAAATTCTTTCTTCAAACTGTTTGTAGAAAGATAGTGCTGAATTCACTGTATGAAATATTATAAACGCCATTTTGATGGATTCTTTTGATTTTTGAAAAATGCATAAATGATTTTTTTAAATATCTCTCACGTTAAAATTTACATTATAAATGTATTTCATTGTTTAATATGTTTGTTAACACACAAGCTTTAAAGTATCTTTAAGACTTTTTTAAATCCATACGTTTTTGGGAATTTTCGGAAACATTCGAACCAATTTTTTTAACTCTGGAAAATTTTCCCCCGAAAATCTTTACAATGGGACAGTTCAATTTTTTCGCATATTCCGAAAGCGTGATTTCGACCAAGATAAGTGGGGCCCGAAAAAAAACACTTAAAAATGTAGGTATTTTAATCCAACACACAATGCAAAATATCTATTGCACAAAAACGAAAAGTAAATCACCACGTTAATTGAAAAGTTCTCTGAATATTTAGTCAAATTTAGGAAAGTATTCACGAAAATGTGAAATTGTTGTATTCTTCCCCTCAAGACTTGCAGGTGGATTATGTCGAAATTAGTTACTATGACAAGAATGTTGTTATACGATGTGTTCGTTTTGACCGATGTAACATATGAACGTGGCAGATATTGAATATCAAGTTTTGGAGATAAAGTGATTCATGAGTGGAATATTGAAAGAATAATACAGTTTGGTATGATTGTCGTTGTTGTTTACTAGTTACGTAGTGATTGTATTTCAAGCTCATTAGTTGGAATCGTTTTGTTGCTGAAAGGGTTCGTGTGGTGTTTTTGGCTGAAAAAGAAAATACTGCAATGCATCTCATAACTACGTCAGCATTTAAACTGTATTTAGTGAAACCGATAAAGAGTAAGTGATTAAGAAATGTAAGTGAACAACGATAGCGGCACACAGGTAATGATGAAGCTATGTTCGATGTATGAACCTCATAAAATATCAAAGTTTGTGAATTATGACTACCACGTGATTTTTCACACTAGCCGAGTTATCATCCAGTGAACCACAATAATGTAAGAAAATATCCTGACGAACTTACCAAAAATTTTCCAAATAAATTAGAAGAATTGGAGTAAGACGTATGAAGAACATACCACAGCCACTTATGAGAATTTTGTGTCAAAATATAAAAAAAAAGCTTGTAAGCATTTTTGTTTTCTAGCTAGAAATGAAAGGAAATAATGTACTCTCTACTAAAATATAAGATATTGGCTACACCTCCATTGATATACATTAGTATTAAAAAACGAACAGTGAACTAAATAAGCGATTTTTAAAAAAAGGAATGTCTCTCTTCAGAAAGTTTTCCTCGGATCTCTATCTGTTAGGGTGGCCGATTTATGAAATGTGACATACTACATGTATGAAGGAAACTGGACAATTTGGTAAGACACCTCATTTTTGGCAAATAATTAGCAATAATTTCACGTGGCATTTTAGCACTAACACGGATTGTATTTAAATTACGTGACTCCGTTAAAATATTAAAACATTTTAAAAGCCCATTTCCACTGTAACAATAAGTATGAGGTGTTTCTGTGCTTTTCAAATATATAAAAATTAATACATTTGCTCGTACCATTTTTTGAAAATTGAAGAAAAAAAAATTCGTAGTAGCCACATTACCAGTGCGTAAGAAAACATACAGTAAAAGTAAACTTATTCAGCAAAATTGTTTTACTTACTCAACAACAATTTTTTGACAGTTTCAGTAGAGTAATTAATAATTTGCCGTCGAGCTACGGCCCAAATTTATGGTTGTTGAATGAATGTGTGTTGGTGTCGTGTCAAGCCAGTTCACGCCCGTTTTCCCACGACAATACATGGGAATTGATTCCAAATTGTGGCAGTCAATTAGCAATCAATCATTTGAGGGTTTCCGTCGAGCTACGATCCGAATTTAACTTATGAGGGCTGTGTCGCGTCAAGCCAGCTCACACCCATTTTCGCCACGAAAATACATGGCAATTAATTCGAAATTTTGGCAATCAATTTGCAATAAATAATTTGACATGTTTCTTTAGGATGTGCTGATTTGACTGTTCAGTTTGACAACCTAAGATGAGGGGAGGCGAGGAGTATGCCAAAGTTAGACACCTCTATTGAATGCACAGCAAAGAAAACTGAAAGGATTTTTTTAAAAGTATAAAAAGCGATGTCTCATGTTCTCAATAAATGAAAGTTCACACATAGCAGTTCAAAATTTTGAAACCTGTATGTGAATGTGGAAGACAAGACTGCACTACAATCTATTACAAATCTGAATAAACACTACTCCTCCCTGTAGAACTCTTCAACTCTCAGGACTAATAAAGAGCTAAATGAATCAATCCTTGTTATTATCAATGATGAACTTGACAGCAGCTGAACTTAGAAGAATTTAATACAGTAATAAGAAAATAAAATAATAGGAAAAGTTCTGGGTTAGATGAGGTAATGTAGAGCTCATGTTTAAGGAAATGAGTTGAAAGAAACACTACTAGAATTATATAATAAAGTAAGGCAAGAAAAACAACAACAATATAATGGTTTGGTTATTAATAGAGACAGGATTTTCATCCACTATAAATGCTAAAATATGCATGCAAACAAGCATTAACAAAACATGCAAATAACCAAACATGCAGAATGCAGAACAAAAATTGTCAAAACATGCACAATCAAATTTGAGTTTAGTATATTTCCTATTTTATTGCCTTTTGTAGCTATTTACAATTTTTCTTAATTTTGTCTGTCAAATTCATCGTTTGTCAGTAAAAAATGTAAACGCAGAAAATGCTTTCTACAAGACAAGATGTAATTGAACTATTCTTCAAACATTAAATTTGACCCACCAAGAGGAAAAATTCTGCATTTTCTGATTTTTAACCCCAAATAATGTTTTATTACATTTTGGAGAAATTTCAAATCAGAATTTGAATTAAAGACATATAAATTCTCCTTAGTAGCAACACTCACAACTCCAAACACTAATTTCAAAGATATTTTAATGTTTGTAACAAATTTTACTGACTCCATGAGAGGTATACCTACTGCTCCTAATTTCTGAATTGCTAAAGGCAATTTTACAAAATTTGATTTTATATATTATATTATTTTTTTTACGGTCATGTTTTTTTAGACTTACCTTATTTTTTGCACACAAGCAGACTGAGTCTACTCTTGATTATTTTCTCTCCCATTGCCAGTTATCAAATGACATTGAGTTACAACTTCCTGTATTTTCATTATATTTTGTTTCTTAATCGCTCGGTATCGATTCATTTCACATATGTGGCTCGCAGTGCATGTACCTGCTTCACAAATCATAGCACATGTAGCAGAAGGTTAAAATTTCTTGTATAACAACAAGAAAAGAGAACTCCATAATGTCAGGATTTAAGAATAATATGCTATTTGTACAAAAATGCTTAATTTTAATTTTTACAAGTTATGCAAAAATGGCTTTAAAAAAGTGTCTAATATGCTAAATAGATGTCAGAATATGCAGTATTAATTGAAAAAATGTTCATACATGCATTATACATGAATTTCTTTTCAAAAACCGGGTACCATAACATGCAAACATGATATGGAAAAAGTATTCATTTTTAAAATGTATATGCCATGAAAAATATATTTACAAAGTTTGAAAGCTTGAAGGGTAAATAAAAATATGCATTTGCATAAAAATCCTGTCTCTAGTTAAAAACATTCACAAAAAAGGCTCAAAGAGGGAGATCTGCAATAATTATACAGGCATCACATTGCAGTCAATATCATTTTAGCTGTATGCAAACATTACAGTCAATATCATCTTAGCTGTATACAAATATGCTGGTGAATAGGCTCAATAAACTATGTGAGAATTCCATGAGTGAGGCACAATTTAGGTTTCAAAAGGGAAGATGCACTATTGATGCCATATTTAGATTACAGATGTTAGTAGACAAAGGAAAAGAAAGTAATCTACTAACTTTTGTAGTGTTTATTGATTACGAAAAGGCATATAACAATGTAAACATGCAGAAACTCTGAGAAATATTTCAATAGCAGAAAATCCTAAATGAAAGTAATCCAAAGTTTATACGTGAACTCAAGTATTAAAATTCTTTTAAGAAAGGGAAGGAAGTCTGAAGTTATATCAACCAGATGATGATTGTCACCCATCCTCTTCAACATATATATTAACCACTTAAGGTAACCAGAGAATACAAATTAAAAAAGACAAACAGTAGATATAATCTTGTATGTTGATGACCAGACTATTATAATGGATTACGAAGATGATTTACAAAGAGCAGTTTTTGAATTGAGAAAGTATTCCAAGAATACTCCATGAAGATAATAATCCAGAAAACAAAAGTTATGGCGATACAAGGCAAAGTACAAAGGATTGTAATAAATTGTAAAAAATTGTAATAAATGGAAAATTAAAGGGACAATGAAGATGTTTTTTATATTTTGAAATAAGTGTGTTCAACCAAACTCAGGGGGAATAAAAAAGAAACTAAATAAATACAATTTAACTTGCAGAACAATTAAGAGGCACTTTGTGCAGAGACAGGCACAGAAACAAAACTGAAAATCTATAATACTGCAGCAAAAACTAGAATCATGTAAGGAAAGAGGACAAGCAAAACCTACAAGTGGAGCATATCAGGTTTCTAAAACATCTTTTGGGACTCACAAGAAGAGACAGACTGATAAATAAGAATATTAGAAAGAAACTTAAAACCAGTGGTATAGTAGAAGAAATAGAACATTTTCAAAGAAAATGGGAGGATAACAATTAGAATGATCAATAACAGTTTGCCAAAACCGATCTGAAAGTACAAACTGAAAGGGAACAGATGTAGAAAGACCAGAAAAGAAATGGCAACAGCAGGAAGACTTGGAAGAAGGAGAAGCAGCAGACAGAGGATGGGAAGGAGGAGATCCATTTTGCAAAGTGGACTTCATTTTATGGAGATTTATTTCTTAATTATATTATTATAAGGCTTTATTTCAACCTTGAATCACTCAATTCAAATTTCATTAAATGAGTAAGTACATTATGACATGATATTAAAATTAGTTTACAAAACTATTAAATCTAAAAATTTAATGTAAAAAAGTCTTTCCAAATCAAACAGATTTTAAACAAGTTTGCAATTTAACTATTATTTTGACATGGAAGAGAAGAAATAATATTTTAAAAGTTTGAGATTTAGAAAAATTGTTGGTCTAAGCCAGATATTGTCATATTATATATAGTATGGTATTTTCCAATACCCTATAAGCAGTTGTGTCTGCTCAAAATTGAGTTTACAATTCAACAATATCCAACAAGTTCCAGAGTATAAGTTCCATCTCCTTTATAATGGCCTTTCAACACTTGCTTGGCTCCCTTTCCACAAAGGAATGCCAGAAAATGAAGAGGTATTCTCAACCACTAAAACAGCAATCATGGTTTCACAATCTGAAAAAGTGGAATACTTTTTGCTAAAATTTTAAGATACAGACGGAAGAATACAGTGAGATAATCATGGGAGAGGAACAAAATGGATTCAGAGAGGGAAGAAGCATGAAATATACCATATTCTACATGTTTGTATTCACCTTACAAAGAAACCTGTGTACACTGAAACCTGCAATGAAGTAAAATGATCAACCGATCTACTATTTATATATTTCAAAAAGATATGATTCAGTACTTACAGAAATAGCATGAAAAATACTAGAGAAAGAAAATATATTGGTAGAAACAATCAAAGGATTTCAAAGTATTTTTACCTGAATTTACAGAATAGTGTAAAAGTGAGTCAAAGTTCTGTACAATCTTACAATCTACGTTACAATCGTTCGTTATAATCTACAAATGTTAAATAGACAGGGCTGCCATGTCTATTTAACGTTTACACTAATCGTATTATCAAAGAATGAAAAAAAAACAATTATAAAGGGATTAATCTGAACAAAACTCAGCAGATCCAAATAATTCTTTATGCAAATAATGTGCTCAAATTAATGAAGACTGAAAATGACCTACAAATTGCAAGACATGTGTTAAATAAGATAATATCAAAATATAATATGAGAACAAACAAATCAAAAGCCATTGCATATCAGGGAAAAGAAATGAGATGAGTTACAATTATCATTAATGAACAAATAATAGAACAAGTCTCCAAATTCAATTATTTAGGCAATTCGATTGCATGTAGATCAAAGGACCTAAGAAAACAAAATACAAAGCTACAATAAAACAAATGGAGACAAACAACATTTTTGAAGAGATATGCCTCAAGAAACCAAATTAAAAATGTGTAACATGACAACAAAACCAATACTTACATATGGATCAGAAATACCAAAAAATTAAATGCAAAGATAATCAAAAATTAGAAGCCACGGAGATGAGATTCAAATGATATCCTGTGAGAAATATTTTGAAAGACCTTGAATGAAGTAAAGTCATCAGAAAAACACTCAAGAAAAAATATAGTAGAGGAGATAAAGGAGAGTGAGAAGAAATGGTTCTCCCATGTCAACAGAATGAAGGAAGAAACTACGAAACTACCTACTCTCAAGTGCAGTGCTGAAGTACACACTAATAAGACAAAGAGATATAGGGAGGCACAACTAAGGGGATAAACAAGGATGAATGTCGAGACAATGCTAAAGGAAGCTCTTTGGAAAAAGAATATAATTATTTTTTCTTGATCATCAGCACAAAGAATGTTTTTATTTCTTTACTTGTGGCAATTTTTATATCTCTTTCCATTTCTTTCCATTTCCAGAGCACAACTGATAAGGTAGGGCCTACATCTTTAGTGAAATCCAACATTTGTGGGGATTACTGTTTTTGCTCCTTCACATGTGTTTTGAATTTTAATTCTGATTTCTTACATAAACTCTTAACCCTGCATCTGATGCACTACCATCTGTCAGATGAAATGATATTCTTTCCCATTTTCTTTTTTGGGATATTTCTCTGAAGAGTGTATTCTTAAGTAGATTTGTCTTTAATGGTTCACTACACTAAAATATTGTGACCAGTGAACATTCACCTTTCTTGATTCTTCATGTGGATAAAGAATCTGTGAGAATAGATGCACCCAATCAAAATTATGTTTCCCATCTTCTCATTTCTAAGTTGCCTTTTGATAATGAACAATGTAAATATATTTTAAAGTTAAATAGAATATCTCTCACAGAAAAAGTAAATAGTACTCTTTGTTACATTCGATTATTTTGCTGATAATGGATGGAAACACAGTGACAATATTTTTTCATTTCATTGACAAACATGTTCAATTCCATTTGATTTAATTTAATACATTTTATTTCATATGAGGTAGAAGTATAATCTGCATATAATAATAAGAATAATATAGGAGGGATAAGATAAAGTTCTCTTCTTCCAAGGTTTTTCATTGTCTTTGAAATATTTGTCTTTCTAATATTCTACAAATAGTAAGAATATTAATAAGTTTTATTTTCACTATTTTTTAACAATCTGGCTGAATGTACAAGATCCATTTATGATATCATGACCTTCCTGAAAGATTGCCAGATTGCTCTTTATCCATTGTTTCTTCACTGAATTCTTTTTATGTTTTGACACAAACCACTGATTTCTAAATGAATTTGTAAGACAATGGTAATGTATCTAACTTAATGGAGAGACTGATAGGAACCACATGTATTTTTCCTTTACTGTTTTTGAACCTATATAAAGTAAAATATTGTTTCTCAGAATTATCGCTCACTTCATACATGCATTCCCCCAGGTAATGCCAGGAAAAAACAAAAATGACATACTTAATGTAAAAATATGTACATATGTGATGTAAAAAGGGAAAACAAACTTTGATCCAACCTGAAGGGCATCCATCAACTTACTTAAACAACATATTTTAAGTACCTCCCAATAATTGTGTAACACTTAAAAATTTTTAGTAGTTGTGTACTATTTGTGCACACTTGATGTAATTTATGGATGACCCCTAAGCGTGGAAGAACTTGCAGGAGTAAAACTACATTTATTATCCAACACATTTGAGAGTGAATACACATCTCTGTAAACAATTGCAAAGAATTGGGATAAAAGAAAGGCTTGCTTAATGCAATTGTGAGAAATAAGCTATCAACTTCCTACAAAACTTCCCCACCTAGTGAAGAAGTTTTGTGGGAAGTTGATTGCTTATTTCCCACCTAGTTCAATAGCACAACTGTCTGCAATGGAATATGGAAATCAAAATATGAAGGTTTCAGATAGTGTTCTAGAATCTCTAGCAGTAATTACATATTTGTATTCCGTTAGTATGCATTGTGGTAGCTAATCACCTAATAATTAATGTGACCTATTGAATGGAGCAAAAAAACTAATTTGGATCTATTTTTTGAAAGATGGCATTTATTTGTATGAAATTTCTTGTTGTTATGTACATTAAAAACAATTCAACTTTTGTAAATGGATTGCATTTTCTATTATAATTTATTGTGGAAAATATTGGTCAACAATGACTAGAACGAAGAAATTGCGAGATAAGAATACCACCTATTGAGAAACGGGAAAAGGAAAGTTAAGCGCCGAATATAAATCAGAAAAGACAAACAGATATAATTGTGTATGTTGATGGCCAGACTATCATAATGGATTATGAAGATGATTTACAAAGAGCAGTTTTTGAATTGAGAAAGTATTCCAAGAATACTCCATGAAGATAATAATCCAGAAAACAAAAGTTATGGCAATACAAGGCAAAGTACAAAGGATTGTTATAAATTGTAAAAAATTGTAATAAATGGAAAATTAAAGGGACAATGAAGATGTTTTTTATATTTTGAAATAAGTGTGTTCAACCAAACTCAGGGGGAATAAAAAAGAAACTAAATAAATACAATTTAACTTGCAGAACAATTAAGAGGCACTTTGTGCAGAGACAGGCACAGAAACAAAACTGAAAATCTATAATACTGCAGCAAAAACTAGAATCATGTAAGGAAAGAGGACAAGCAAAACCTACAAGTGGAGCATATCAGGTTTCTAAAACACCTTTGCAAAAAAATCTATTTTGGATCTATTCTTTGAAAGATGGCATTTATTTTTATGGAATTACTTGTTGTAACAAACATTGAAAAGAATTCAACGGCTGTGACTGGATTGCATTTTCTGTTATAATTTATTGTGGAAAATATTGTTAAAGAATGACAAGAACGAAGAAATTGCGAGGTAAGAATACCATCCTTGTTCTAGAAATTTCAGTTATCATCTTTTAAGTTTCCCGCCTTACAATCTCATTGCTACTATATGTGTAGGTTGCTGAGTGGTTTTACGTTGGTTGAGCTCTTATTGGTCAACGCTGTGGATGCGTGGATATTACGACCAATGAAAATTTGCCATCTGTGTTAGTAGTTTTGACTGAGACTGTGGACACGGATTGTCAGATGCCTTGTAGAATGTGTGTGAGTGTTGTGTGTATCGCGTGAATTCAAGTTGCATGTAAGTCCAGAGCGATATTATTTTGTCGTCTGTGGCAGTGTTGAATATCTTACTTGCTTGTAAATAGTTAAGTCATGGGGCAACAATAAACGTACTACTAGTGGACGTTTACAGTTTTTTAATTCATTTGCAGATTTTTAATGCGGCCGGTAGCAGACATGGATCAAGGTGCCAAGATGTATTTTTTCTCAGTATGTTTTCTTTACTTCATTTCCAGTGCGTTGAGTTTGAAGAAGTCAGATTGTGAAGGTATGTAAGAATGGTTTTTGCGTGGTGAAGCACTACCACGATGTGGTGTCCACGTCAACTTGCTTAATAAACTGAATGGTCTGTGATTGTAAATTTTGTCAATTTGTTTGGAAATTATATGATATAAACAATAAAAATCTTAATATATTTAAGACAAAATTAAATTCAATTTTTGTAGTTGTTCTAGACATCATGACATTCTGTAATAAAGTGGTGTTTGTTTAGTTTGTGTTACAGTAGTTGAAAAGTTCGGCAATTCATTGTCCGCCGATATAAAATCAAATCCAAAGCTAATTGAAGACGAATTTCGGAAATTTTGCAAAACGTCAAAAGCCAAAGAGAACAGATTTGTGAGTACGATTGTGATGTAATTTTTCGTATCTTGACATGTATAGAGTTAACAGAAGGAGTAAGCATGTGTCTTTTATAGTGCTATTATCTGGGTGGTTTGGAAGAATCTGCTACAGGAATACTAGGAGAATTGTCAAAACCCCTATCATGGTCCATGCCGCCTGAAAAAATCTGTGAAAAGTTGAAGAAAAAGGATTCACAGATATGTGATTTACATTATGGTATGTATCGTCTTTAAAAATAATGTATGCTTTTAATGGATGGTAATATGATATTTAGATGGAGGCTATATGCTTAAATGTAGCACGAGGACCAAAAAATTATTCAGTTTGTAGAGTGTAGATTCTAAATTTTATGGTAAAAATTATAAATGCTTATATTTGTTATAGAGGTTCTTGTTTTTGAAAGTTAGCACTTCTTGCAGTGCATTCGCTGTGATAAAGATAATTATATTACATGGAAATATTTGAGCAGTTCATTTATTATCAAGGTTTCAAAAATCTTCTGGATAAGGTTTAAAAAATTATTTATGGATAATTATTCACATTTCCTACGTATCAAAAACTTGCAGACTGCACTGAACCAGTTGTATTATTTTGGTTTTGGGCCTGGTCGGTGAAGTTTCAAAAGTGTGCAATTAGAATTAATTTGCTTAAATCATGATATCGAAATTATTTACGAATAGTTTGTATCATTTTCATTGGTACTCTAAGTTTCTTTATTCACTTTAATGAAATGCTTTTTTGACATGTATTCTTTATTTTGTGCGAATAAATTTAGGGCACAAGTGTTATTTGGGAAATAAAGAATACAGTTTATTTTACCCATTGATTATATGGTCAAGTTAGTCATCATTAATATTGATTTAGAGAGTACACAATAAAGTAAGATTGATATATATGGGAAAACAGTCACAAATATTAAGTGTGCATTTTTATAAGTAAATTTAGTTTATTTGTCCCCCTTACTAAATACAATATGGATTAGTGTTGTGAAATTTGAAAAACTTGGCTATTACAATAAATAAAATTATGATGGAAGCAACAATGAAAATGCAGAAACAGATAAAAGTACATATGGCATTCTTAAAAAGAGGTGTCTTGAATTTATGGATTTCATAGAAAAATGCTGTGAGCTCCAGATGAATTTGTTATTTTTAGATAGTTCATTTGATTTCTGAATTGTTTCTCCCATTTTTTATTGAAATCTCCTGTAGTTGTCTATGAAACATCAAAAGGGATTTGAAGTTGTACACAGGTTTAATTCTTGTATATTTTGTAAAGAGTTTGTGTTCTTTGTTTCTGTTATCTCATGAATGAATTTGGAGAGGTGTCCAACTCATTAACTTAATACTTGCACAATATTGTAATTTAAGGAAGGAGTTATATTTTGCGCCTGGATCGAAACTTTTTGCATTTCCTCGTATCTTATAAATTATTGGAAAATTTTGTTCGAGGCGTAAAAAGTGAATATTTAAAGAGTGGTTGAGTAACATTATTAAATTTAAATTTATAATTAAATTAATGAAAATAAATAATTTAATTTTTAATACGATTTCTCTGAGCTAAGAATCGGGAGAGAGAAGAGAGGAAATGAACTTCTAATACATTCCATGACAGTGCAGTGTCTTTCTGTTAAAAGTTGTACTAGATGAATGGATATTGTATGAAAACGTGTTATGCAACCCGAACCTTGAAATTAATCTCTTTTTACATATTGCATGTGATAACTAAATCCACTAACAGATGAAGGCAATGAAATTTATGCATTGGAAACATAAGTATGCAGGGGGCTAAGTGGTTCATTGTGATATTTGTAATTTTAATTATTGCTAGCAGTATTACTTAAACTGAGTGAGCAGGAAGTGGGTTTTTAGTTATTTTCAGGAACAATTACTTCTAGTTTCATATTTTATTTTTAATATCAATATTTTACATTATGGGGAGAATAATTTGACTTCTTTCATTATATTTCATCATCATTCTGTTTTGCATCTTTTATCACTGGTATATTGTGGACTGTTTTTGTGATATTGTTTTTGTTTTGTTTTATTTATTGCAGATAAAACAATTGACTTACGGACTGTTGATTTGAAAAAACTGAAAGTGCGTGATTTAAAGAAAATTCTTAGTGACTGGGATGAGACCTGTGAAGGTTGTATTGAGAAGACAGATTTCATCAAAAGAATAGAAGAACTTAAGCCTCAGTATATGCATCAAGAATTGTAAAATATTAAATTACTCTCTTAATTGTGAACTCTTAAGCAATTTAGCCTCGATCCTGTTTCAAATGGCAAAGGATGACAAAAAATGGATAAGAAAAATATTGTAATATACCAGCAATGTGTGGTGTGAATTTGTGTGAATTTGCTCCAGATTGCGTCATTGCATGACTATTACAGCAGGTGTTATTTATTTTACTTCCTTCTCATTTTATTTATTTCATGTTCAGGATAAGTATTCAAATATAATTGTCTGCCCTTTTATTGTAGTTTTGAGAAATTGGTGCACCCTTCATTGTAATGTAGGCACTTTTGGTGGTTATTTTTATAAGCCATGGTCAGTGGATGATGCTGTAAGATACTAGTTCAGTAGCAACTTGTGAAACTGCAACATCAAGTAAGATTAATGCAGTGCTCAGAGATTTTTTATTGTTGCTGAAGTTTTTGTCAGTATCGAAACCACTCTGGCAGTATTTAATGTAACATTGATATACTTAATTATGTTTTACATGCACAGGTTTTCTTGAGCCCTATTCCTTCTCCTTTACTAACATTATTTGAAATAAGAATAAATTACAGCAATGATTGACAAAATGTGGAAAAAAGAAATATTCATTCCTTTCTAATAGAATCTATTTTGCACTAATAAATGAGCTACAGAGTTGGTTATTGAAATGCCACTCGTCTCTCACATCAAGGACATGAGGGTTCAAGAAAACTTGTGCTCCCATCCCCTCCCCTTAAGCTTTTACTGCTGTAAGCATTCTTGAGCAACATGTGAATATGAGAATCAACCCAAAGTTACTGTGTATTTTTTTCCAATTGTGGCATTAAATGTTATTTCAAATAAGTGGAGTGTTTAAGAGTTGTATGAATGTTCTGGGAATCAATTGAGTGTAAAGTGGTGAGAAATTGACTAATTGAATTAACTCGTGAACTTTTATATGGGACGGTCAGAAAGAATCTCCTGTAAAGGTGAGCATAATATGAAAATTTAATTTAAATGTTAGTACTTGTGAAATGCAGTATGAGCCTACATTGAAGTTGGACTACAGATTTCATGTTCAAATTGTGAAAAGAATCAAATGTACAGATACACCATTTATGAATTGCTTAGTGAATTTACAAACAGACAAATGAAGACCAAAGTACTGGATGTATTGTTCCTTAATGGGACAGAATCTTGTGAAATGTATTTAGATTACTAAATGCAGAAAGCATGTATCTGTGAATAAATCTATTCAACAGGGAGAACGTCTATTAATGCACCTGTAAAGAAAACTAAATTAACTTGTATTTACGGAATTACATTTTTTCTGGCCCTTGTAGCTGTAAGTCCATTTCCCTTACAAACATTGTGAGTTCTAGTTTTGAGATTTTTCTTTGGGAGCCAATGAACAAATAGGTGCTAAAAGGGCTTTTGTCTTATTCTGTTACAAAAAGGTCTGGATAGTAAACTTCAGTAAGCTTTGATTCAACTGGAAATTGCACAAAAAGTCCTGGAACTATATTAAACATTTTCTGATGTATAGTTAACATCCAATGTTAAAAATTAGCAAGGGCATATTTAGGGTATTTGTGAAAATCATCTAAACCATTGCAGAAAATATCTATTGGAAGGTGGACTGAAGATGGTTAGATGTAATCACTAATCAGAGTGACTATTAGTTTACTTCCAAAAGTAGCCAAGGAAAAAACTTCATTTGAGTCATTGTGGGAATTGTATATTCTAATAGATACTAGATGTGTGGATCTTCGTGTGTAAATGCCTCTAAGCAATAATTCTTTATTATACTAACATCTCATATTGGCACTGTTCAGCTTACTGCTTTAAAACTTTTTTAAATACACAATTATAATTTAAGAAGGTATGGCATTTACCTAACTGATATTTCTTTCAAAATCATATCACCAAGTGTTAAGAGAGTAAGCCTGGGATCAAATCATTTGAGGTCAGATAACAATTAATTAATTTCATTAAATTTGTTTCTTAGCCAGAGCGTGATCACAGAATCTACTTCAATGTAAAGCATTTCATTGAAACATGATCAATATTCAGTGCTAAAGTCTGGTTTGAGGGAAGAGCTTACTATCTCTGAAACATTAATTTCTTTAAATCTAATTTTGATGTTTCAGTTGTTCATGAAAGTATTGTCTTCCCATAATTACACTAATTATTAATTGCCTGTAATAAATATGACTACCTTAAATAATCACTACATCTACAAAATGTATCTAAGTTTTCCAAATGTTTATTTTCAAGTTATATTTCTTACACCTTCATGCATAAAATCTCTTGTTTGCATAATACTTTCAGTAGGGGTTATGGTTTAATGCACAATGAATGGTATGTACCATTTCGTAATTGGGAGTGTCTTGGGCATTAGTGTGATTTATACATTACACTTCACACAATGAGAACCACCTATTACTAAACAGTTAACAAGTCAAAAGGGGTTATGTAAACACTTGATGATTAAAAAGGAAATATTAAATTTTTCCCTTTGGTTTTTTGACAGTCATTTCATTGGGTTATACGGTAAAATATACTGTCCCATATTATTTATTGACAGACACTTGAAATAACTACATGGTATGGATCACACCAATGATTGTGGGAATCAAAACTTCAATAAAAACCTGGTTCAATTTTTATGTTTGCAAGAAATTGCTTAAGAATATGTATGGACTGTGATCCAGATTTTAGTTTAATCGAAAAGCTTAGAGTGATTCGGAATGTGTACCTTTAAAAATATTTGCTGAAATGTCTACTCATGATTTTTAAATACAATCAAATCCATTTCTTGGCAGAATATGGTGGATGGATACACAAAGAAAATGTAAAACCCTTTACAATACTATTTATGAATGTGCTGAATGAATTAATGCCTTTCAGGAAGGTGCACTTGCAAGAGTGATAATCAAAATGACAAAATATACAAATCTGCTGCAGCTAATAGAGCTTATTCTTATCTGCTTGCCACTTTTTTTTAATATACAAAGGACACACAAATGCATGCCCAAAACAATTAGGGAAAACCAGATGGATTACCCTTACCCATGAAGAAACTATTAAGGAAGACAAAATGTTTTGAACTTATTATGATGATTGATGTGCTCGAAATAAATAAACTTATTTGCATTTAATGTAGATGATGTAGGCTTCCGCGGCCAGTCATGATCTGGGCGGTCCGGGAGATTATTTAATGTAATGTTTTTTCTCAATAATATTTCATTTTGTATATCAGTATTATTCAAACTGTGAGGTGTGCCTTCCAATGAGTTGTGAAAGTTTCCGAAGGGAGGTGCAAGAACTTTATAATAATTAATAAAATAGTGCTCTAACGCTTAAGAATGCTCTAATAATTTATGAATTTCACACCATGAGAAGAATAATAACTTCCTGATCTTTCATCAAACAACACACTAAAGATAAAATAAAACTGCAAACATTATCCAAATTTTGGTGCTCTGTGAGGAATGAGTATCCAGAGCTAAGTCAGAAGGCCTTGTGTTCTGACTCTTTTTGCCACTTCCCGAGTGAAACAGAATTTTCAATCAAGAATAAATCTCTAGAATGAGATGAATATTACTATTTCTAAATGAATGCCGAGATTTCAGGAACTAGGCGATAACAAACAAGCCCATCCATCTCACTGACCTTTCTGGACTATTAATACTTTTTTTTTTTTTTTAGTTTTCCTCACTTTTTCAAACATTAATTAATTTCAGTACAGCAGTGAATAGTAGATATCATTAGCAATAATTATTTTGTACACTAAGTATATAGTAAAAAAAGTATACATGATGGTCTTACTTCCAGGAAAAAATATTTAGTTATTAACAATTTAATTTTAGTAAGGGGAGGTGTGTGCAGAATTTGTTACCTGAAGGAAGTCATCAGCAAAAAGTTTGAAATCCTCTGTTGTATACGATTTGACCTCCTTATAGAAAAAAATTGTTTAATTTCATCTCATTGTTTTCTCAGTGAATTTAACATGAATGCACCTGCCTTTTGCTCAGAAATTTGTGAAGATCAAAACAGAAAAGTGTTTTTTGAAAGAAAATATTAGGTAATTATTTTTACTTCACATGTATAGTGCATATTAAATACATACTCTAGCCTTTCTTAATAAGTACAATTTACTTTTTTTTTTTTTTTGTCAGAGGAAACTTCCCTAATTGTCTATTCACATTTTAACTTCAAATGACTTGGTCTCCATTTCATGACAGTCACTGATGTGATTTTTGTTCTGACCCCCTCAAAAAGAACTTAACAACCCAATTCTGGAATTTTTCAGCAAAGTTTTAGAGAAACCGTAATGAGCCATTTCATGGTGTGAACAGGGACTTGATATCATAAATATATTTATAAATAATCAACAAAATTTCACAGACCTAATTAATTAACCCTTCTTTAGGTGCTCTTGGGTCCAGTACACCCATTGCGTTTTGGGAACTAATGTTGAAAGTTGTTGTTTTAAGAACTTTACAAGATATGGAGCCATCCTGTGTTGAATTCATTTGCATTAGGTGAAAAGATTACTGCCAGACAAGCTGGAGGGTATTAGGGTCATGTAGCAATTCTTTCCTTTGGCGTGCAACACATGGAATTGCCAGACATCACATCGCTAATTGTGTCACATTCACAAGACCTGGAGCCATTGAGTTGTGTTCTCTTCTCATGCTTTAGCTTACATGTGTGCTTCCTCTATTTGGGGGTGTTAGAATAAGAATATATTCTTCTTAGTATTTATTCTATTTTCAAAATGAGTAAATATTTTGATCTGCAAATTGCAGATGACATAGGAAAGATACAAAAACTTCTGTTAGAAGACCATGTGGAAAATGAATATTTCGAAGAAAATTCCAACTGTAAATCGAAAGATAATGTTAAAAGAATATCTGCAAGTGTATATAAGGACCATGAAGTAAGCAAATAGGATTTAAAACAATATCATTATAACATTGTGGAGGGCACATATTTTTCACAGGTATGCGAACATAAATATACGGGCAATGGAATTTTTTTCTCATCTTCAAAATATTGCTGCAACAAGTGGGAGAATAATTTCTTGAGGAAATTGCTAACAACACCGGGATCGGTGAGAGTACCAACATAAAGAACTTAGCGCAAAGTTGTGACTCCAGCAGTTGCACTAAAGGCCCACTATAGCCAGGAGAAATTAAAGAAAACAACTCATATTAAATAGAAAAAAACAACAGAATATCACAGTAAAATTCCGAACAACTATGCATCAAGAGAAATAGGTGCCAGATCTCCTAAAAGGAAACAAAAAAAATATTATTGCAGAAAACACTTGTTCACGTAAATTAAGAAATCTAATAATATACAGTACATACCAACACTTCCTCAGAAAATAAAAAAATTCCACAAATAGATCCACAGAATGGTTAAAAAAAACTGCTGCACATTGAAGTATATTTTATCACAATTTAAAAATCAACTAATTTATAACTTCATATGCAATTTCCTGTTGGGAAACATTTCTGCAAATCTATCTAAAATCACACACTGATTTCTATGAAAGTGCCTCACTCCACAAAACCCCACAGGAGTAGCTCCAGGTGGAACTTGCAACACCGTACATTGAATTTTTGGTACCAATGACCCACAAAACAAAACGGATTATGATTACACAACTTGATAAAGGAAGTAATTACTACACATAGGAACAAGGTTTATTCAATTCTTCATTACCAGGGCCTCAGAGTATTGTTGTTGAAAATCAAAGCTTTTCCCTGTAGCATTACATTACTTTCTCTTAACTGTGTAAGCAGTATGCAGAAAGTAACAAATGAACAGTCATAAAAAAGCAATTTCTTCAGAACAAAATTAATTGCACACAGAAGAAAATGCATCTAAGTCTTTTGCTTCCAACTGTTAAATAGCAACATAAAATCAACATCTATGATTTGGTTCATCTTTTTCCACTTATATATTTTACCAAAAATATCAATTAAGATTACCCTTGCTTTTTTATTTTTTCCAGGAAGTTTGTAAGTAGAAATCTAAGTGATTAACTCAAATGAAATGTTTAAGCATGAGTTTATTATTAGAAACATTTTTTATGAATACAGGAAATATGTCACACCAGATATACAAAATATATACTGTAAAAAAGCACGAGAATTATGATAAGAAATATGTTTTAAATTAACTTAATATAAAAAATCTGAAATACATAATTATAGGGACTGACAAGCTTTATAGCATAAAATGAACAATATGGCAAGAGTCAAATGTTTCACAACCTATCTTTTTCCAGTACTTTGAAAGGGCGTACGTATTATGGTCGGGTATTATATGGAGAGTAGCAAAAACACTGAAATTAACTATATTCCATCAAATAACTGATTGAACACAAAACAATAAAAATATTGTCAATTTCCTTTAGCAAACTTCAGAAAAATACATATTATATCATATAATTTTCAATAAATATTTTCCATAACCTCTGAAATTCCCATTGCATGTGCATAGCATATTTATGCTATTAAGTTCTATTTATGCTACGCATGTTCCCAACAAAAAACTAATGGTTCACTCCCGAACTTTGTGTAAAGATAATTGAAATAATGTGTGTAAGGTTTGTCAATACTATTCAGTGGTGGTCAGAGTTCTTAAGAAGAACTGCAATGGAAATCTGTGTAAGAGTACATTACATTTCTTTAAAGGTGTAGAAATGTAACTTGCAAGCGGCAAGAAGAAAATATAAGGGCAGGGTTGGTTTTAGATGAAATTTTATATTAACTTCATAGAGACTGGTAACTGATATAATGTAATATTCGGTTTTTTGATACCACGGAAAAGGGTATAATCATTGCAATGTTGATATTAAGAAATTAGTTAGTCCCTTTGAAAAAAAAAAAAAGTGAGTTATGATTATGATTCTGTATCTAATGAAAATAAAAACTTAGCATTGTGTAACACACTAATGCAAAATTTCCTATAACTAAAGCCTGTGTATTAGAATCCTTTATGTTACCAAATTATATTTCTGGGGAAAAACAAAATAATTTGATTTGCTAACTGTAGAAAATTCAATAAAGGAGGTATTTTGTGCAAAAAAATGTTCAAGTTTACAATTTCCACTTCTTACACTATATCAATAAACTAGCTCCATGATATTAAAGTAATAAGAAACTAAGAAGCAAGCAGAAGTAATAAATGTACATATTACAGAATTGTTTTCCTTATTTTCAAGAGTTATATATGGATTCAAGAAATACATTTCTCATTTGTGATCACATCATGCATTTAATTCAGAACATTAAATTTTTTAACATGGTTCAAAAATGAAGTATTAAAATTGATTAACAGTATTAATTATCTTGTAACTGTAACATTGCCTTGTTCTTGGATATTGTTCTCTTTGTTGAAGACTAATTCTTAACACACATCATTTTTAGGTATTCCAATAGATGTTGGTATATGAGCATTAGATTACACCAATCGTCATTTTGTAACATGAAATGGGTTTGTAAATAATACACTATGATCTTTCTGTCATACCTTTAGGAACCACATACAGCAAATGATAATACAAATTCTCCTTCAAATATGAAATTACTGACTTTTGTCATGTTTTATTCAGAACATAAAGCCTAATCACGCTAAAAAATTACTATCTTTGAATAGAGAGGAAAAATAAAAATATGTTTTAGTGTAGTTTCATCATATGTAAATTGTAATAAACAAAAGTATAACAATTATGCAAAGGTCAAAGAGAACAATGTTTGAAACAAAAATAAAATATAAAACTATATATTCTCTACAAAAAAAAATAAATGATTCAACAATTTACATAATATTGTTGAAGCTATTCAATGGTGAAATTGAATAGGCTAAGAGTAATTCTAAAACAACAGACCTTAAAGTCTGTCTCCAAATTTGAAAAGTTTGTAACCATTATACATACAAACAAATCATTATATATTAATATTTTTTATAATCCACTCTTTATCATTCAATACAATTCAAATGTCGATATATTTTTTGTCATTTCATTATATTAATCCTGTTACAAATTTTTTTAGTATTATTTATTTATATATTTAGTCTACTCATTTTGCGTCAATCGGAAAATTTATAACCACAAGAAAATAAAATATACCTTTAATTGTTGGATTCCTTATTTAATGATCATCAAAAGATATTATACTCCTCTTTGTACACACCATTAAACAATTAGGGCAATGTTACAGAAAAAAACATTAAGAGAGAACCATTAGATACATTGCGAATATCAAGAAGTCTTCAATACATTCATTCATTACGTAACAATAAACCATTACATTATGTATATTTAACTCATGCATTTCAGCAGCAAAACTAAAAACAGTGGTACGTTTCTCAGCTCAACATACATACGAATAAACATTTCATACAATATGATGTTAAACCAATGACAGCACATGAAACTACTTTTAAATTTAACTTTTCACGTCATTCAAAGCCAAAATAACATGCATGCATTCAGTTACAAATTTAAAAATTTTATTTTTATAATTACAAAGGGTTTTCTTTTCATTTGTATTTCCACAATAAAATCACACTATGCCAGCAAATAAATTCAATAATACATTTTTAACATTGTTAAAACCAAATGGTCTTCACAAATCTTGTTGACATGACCATACTAAGGTATGGTACATGCAGAGTCCATTTAATCACAGATGATTTTGACTAGAACTGAAAAAAAAATCAAATAAAAAAATAATAAAAACACTTTAAAAATGTAAATATAATATATAGGCAACATATTAAGATATTTTATACTCCGAAAGAAGTTGAAGTGCTCATATTCACTTTTCATATGCAACCAAAATTAATGATTAATTCATAGCATTTAACACATTTATGTATTTCAATTTCATTTATCACATTTATGACAGTTCTATTGAAAAACTATTTTTCCTAATTTGTGATTGATTAGTAATACTTATACTAAATATAATTAATTATAATGTAATTCTTATTATTACTTAGATTCATTTGACTTAATTTCATTACAAGTCTGATGTTATTGTGAGTTGTGTTACAAATTTAATATTAATTTTATTTATTGGAGCTTTTCAAAATCTATTGCTTTTATAAATTCAGAAAGTTATTTGGTGTGTTTGTACTAAGCTTTTCTTGAAAATTGACCACTGGAGTCCTTGAATATTTAATTTATAAGATTGGCGTCTCACATTTCCTAAATTAAGACTGTCATGAGCTCCACTGATTGTAGTCAATGTGAACAGAGGCATGTTGGATTGTCATTAATTTTGAATCTTTACATTACAGACATTGTTATGAGATTTCACCAATTTAATGTTTATTATCCAATTCTCTGCTTGTAGTTCTCTAATTTTTAGTCTATTTCTTATATTATTGCTCAGGTGAACGGCATTTATTACATTCATAATGTAAGTATGTAATAAGTATAATAACAATGTTTTATTAATGTTAATTTGTATTTCTTTCGTAATTATGAGGGCTTTGCATATGGCATATTGTTCTGCTTGATTTAAAGAGCAACTATTATTTAATTATTAATTACAGTTAGAGCCCATTTGTAAATTTGTCGTCACTGTACATAGCTACTCCTGATCACTCTTATTTCTTTTTTGCTTCCATCTGTAAATATTCCTTCCATTCCAAATTCTTTTCATTTGTATTGTTTATGTTGGATGAGGCCAGAATTAATATGATGATGGTTTATCTAAAAAGTGTTTTTCTTTATGCTTTTGTGAGTGTTTCCATGTATGTATCTGGGTGGGCTTCTATTTACACATGAGTATATGTAAGTGTATACATAGTTAGTATGTACATCCACTTCAGCCGTGTACATGCGTATGTGTGTATGTATGCGTCTGTAAACATGTTTGTACGTGTGTATGAACATGTGTCACTTGTGTATGAACGCGCGCGGGCGAGTGTGGGTATGAATGCGCGTGTATGAATGTATGTATGTGTTTGATTGTGTGTAAAAATAGAAAATATGTATAGTGCACGTTCAAAATATGATCTACGTGATTTTTCTTGCTACGTTTTGCTACTTTCTGCACCAGAATGAATTTTCCCGCAAGAGGACGAAGAGTCAGGTGTTGTGATAAAAACAACACGCACGCACGCACCCACACACACGCGGGATTCACTGTATCGTACCCGTACTTAAAATAGTAAATTTTATAAGACGCAGAGGTCTAAATCACAGACTGTTAATGCATTTTTAACTAGAGTTGGATGAAAAATACTCCGATGTACCCTACTTTACAGAAGTTCGCTGGCATAGTCGAGTATTAGCCTTTTTGGTCGACATGATTGAACGTATGAATGACCAGAATATCAAGATGCAGGAAAAATATTTGATCGTCACTCAAAAGAATTATTACATCCGGACATTGGAATCACGATTAAGACAATGGGAAACGCAGATAAAAAAAAAACGATCACTCGATCGTAAAATTATGTGGCGTAGCATTATCTACTTCCGCTGAACCTCGCCTCGAAATTTGACAGCCGTTTTGGAGATTATTCGAAATGAACCAGACGGAATTTAAATTTTTCAACAATCCATCTAATTTTGAAGTTGCACAGGCACCATATCACTTGCAAATAGAATTGATCTCCAATGTGATAGTGTCTTAAAAGGCAAATTTAATGAGATTAATATTACATCATTTTATACACAGTACTTCAAGAATTTGGACATGTATTCTAATACAAAGAAGCACGATGCGCAAATTTTGTGTATGAGTAGTAGTTCGTATTTATGCGAACAGATGTTTTCTATTTTGCATATCATGAAGAACACACACAGCTCAAGACTTACTGATGAACATCTCCTGTCTACTCAAATAACTAACCCGAATATGATTCTCAACATCGATGAGATTGTCAAGAATAAAAGAAGTCATATCTCCGGATACTCACCATAATTCTATATACAATATTTCATTAGAATATTATCATAATGCCGATAAAGTCAATTATTTTGTTCATAAATAAAATTTACGATAATTTCCTTTTGCGCGTAATTCGTTTAAGTCTCGCCTGCTATCATGTAAATGGTCTTTTGAAAAATCAAGTTTGACACCCCTGCAGTAACAGATCCTGGTAGTTTCGAAGGGGGGAGGAGGTAAAGGGACCACGCACCCCCTGAAATTAAATATTTTTACTTTCTAGCATACAACTTACGTAGAATAGAAGAAGTTCAGCAAAAAAGAGCAATATTTAGTAGTAACATTTAGAGCTCCAACAGCTCTTTCTCGTATTATATGCACCTTTAGCAATGTTCAGAATTCAACAAAGGAACCTGCGCCATTTTTGTTGACTGTACTTAGCCCTGTTTGGAAAAAAAAAACCTAAATCCTTAAATCAAGCGAATTACCGTTTTGGCCACAGAAGCATAGATTCCCGCAGAAAGTTTTATTCGTCTTTCTTTATTTAATTTCGTTGCAGCTGGTCACAGGAACTTGGTGCTTATGCCCATGACATTGGGTGGTATGAATAAAAGTAAACAATTACTCTTTGCTCCGAGTTTCGTATGAATAAAGTGGGTGAGCAATTGCTCAGTCTCTGAGCAGTGCTGAGTTTTTATTGTTACGAAATGGAGCTATTGCTCCATCTCTGAGCGTACTCTCAACTAGCGAGCAAATGCTCAGAATTCGTATGAATAAAGTTAAGCGTTTACTCTCTACATTGAACATTTGCTCCAAAATGTGGGAGGGACCATAGTAGCAGACTCACGTTTGAAAAGTAAGGTTCAATTGTTCAAGTTTTTACCGTGTGTTGATATGCAGTGGACTAAAAAAATAACAAAATAAGGCGAATTTCTCGTGATGTAGACTATTAGAATCTTTACCGATTCGAAAAGGATAATGTATGGTTGGTGCGATTTTTATTGGCGTTTACTTTTAGGCGCATCTTCATATTGCATATCTTCTTTGTTAATTGGCCATCGCTCTTCTACTCAGAATTTTTCGGGGTACTGTTTTTTCAAACTTTGTAAGGTTTCGTTTCGGCCACAGCGTACCTGCGGAAGCAAGCTCTTTTCAAAAATAATTTTATATTCGCTTAGCATTTCGGCAAAAACTAGCTGGGTCTCTGGCGCCTGTTCTTTGTTACTGCACTCATATTTGAATTAAAAGAACAAGACAACAAAACATTGCTCTTTGTTCCGCACAAATGTGTGCGACGCGCGTAACACGTTACCTCTTTGTTTCTCAAGAAACCAATTCTTAAAACTCTTAGAATGCACTATCACTTGTTCACAACGAGAAAATGCTCGCGAGACATACGAAGTTTTTATTCATACGAAATGGAGCTTTTGCTCAGTGCCGCGGGTCAGACTCACTTCGCTCCAGAGCAAGTACTTCAGTGTAAGTCCTCATTTTTATTCATATGACTCATTGTCATTTGTGTACAACCAGTATACTGAAATTCTGACGGCTGACTGACGAGACCGGGTGCGATCGTAGGGTCGCGAATGATAAGGGCTGTCCTCATAAGCACTCAAACTCCGTCACTTGACAAATTTGCGTTTCTCCTTCGTTCGTAGAAAAAAGGTGTTTTTTCTTCAGTGCTTAGAAATATCCTCTGAGCTTGGACTCACTAATTGTCAATCATTGACTTATTCCTCCAGGTCAGCAGTTACTGTCGTCATGTACTGTTCCGTTGGTTTACTGGATGTTTTATCTCGTAGAGTGGCGGCATTCCTCCTCTACTGAATGGTAAGATCCGGCACCAACCAACATGTCGAATGGCGAGGGATTTCTCTCTCCAGAAATCTCCAGCAGAGCACCGCCCCAGCCGGGAGAACACCTACTTCCCGACTGTTCACCTGGTTTATGTGTAAGTGCATTGAGTAAGGAGCGCGGGTTGGACATGGAAGAATCGTGCGCGGTCCACGGCCCTTTCTTGGTGTATTGCTCCGGCGTACGCCTTGGAGAAACCATAAGAAATTACGGGTCAGAGTGGGTGGCTAAAAATTCCTCCAGACAGCGGCTGAATTCGACATAGCTATGTAACCAGGATGAATCCGCCACCATCGGGACTACAACATTGGGACCTCCCGGTCCGAGTCGCTGAAGACTCAACGGCAATGCTATCTCTGAGCTAAACTCTGTTGGTTTTGATTTCCAAATTTCATTGGGCGCTTAAGACCACTGTATCGGTTATTCGCAATATGGACTATAGTTATAAAGCAGTTAACCATTTCATTAACGTAACTTTTTCTTCAAGCTTCTAGACAATGTTGTTAAGTTTGAATTTTTGATAATTACTGTCAATCGAGGTTTTTATGATGCAGAAAAGCAAACTTTTCAGCTCATCTTCTATACCGTTTGCAACAAACACATGATAAAATTGCCTTTTGATGCTACTGTGTAGTATGTTAAAAATAACCTAAAACATACCACAACTTTTTCAGAACTATTTTTTTAAAATCAAAATTTTGTATCAAATTAGCCCCACCTGATAAGGCTAATACGATCAATTGATGGAGCTAAAGTGATACCGCTTAATATATCTATAAATTTTTATTGGGAAACAACGAGAGAGCTATAGTATGACACCTCAGGGTTTAGTGTGTCTAAAAGGCATTTTTTATCATTTTTTAAAATATTTTACTGAGCCCAAATACTGTAATATTTTGGGTATTTTTTTTTCAGCGGCGATGGTGTAACGGTTAGCGTATCGGACTA